ACCTTCATCACCACGGGGCTGCTGGGGAAACATGTAGTTCGTCAGTACCCTCTGCTTTGTTTCTGGATGAGCTTCAGTTTGCAGTGGAATGAGAGCCTTGGACTATATAGGAAAGGGAAAACAAGGACGGTTCACTCAAAGCATGTATAATAATGAAATGGCATTTTAGCATCTGATAAAGAGAAAATACAAGAACAATTAAAATTCTGTATGAATATTATCTTATCTTTGTGGACTAAAACAAGTATTAATCTGATCTGAATGTTTTCTCTCCCATTCCTCACTTTCGATGTGTCCGTAATTCCTACTGGGATCAACAGAAGAATACTACATATCAGAAATCCTGACTGCTTATTCAGAATCACACCGGTGAGGAAGCTAAAGGATGAGCCAAACAGAGCCTGCAACAGTACAGTTAAAACACCCAGGTTATGACGGTGATTTATTTTCAGTTAGGGTTAATGAGAAGCAAGTTCACGATAGCCATTAGTCCCTCTCAGAATAACGCTGGTGCAAGCTACTGGAGAATTTACACTGAGGCACCCTGATTATTATTATTGCTTTGCTCTAGTGTAGTCATCTAGGATGACTGTCACGGTTCACTGAACAGAATGTTATCTACACTAACCGTAGAAAAGTTAAAATGTTGAAAAAGTACTGTATCTTTAAAAGAAAGTATATGTTCTGTGACTGGGCTGAGGATTCATGTAATGTCAGTTTTTGAATGGAAATAAGAGTGAGAAAGAGCAGAATCCTAATTTAACACATTCAAATTTACTCATGAGTTTACATCATCCCTCCTACTTAATCTCCCCTCTGTTCAGTTTTAAAATTTCTTTCTTGCCTATGCAAGTAAAAATTAGATGCAAGGAGAAGTGCAATAAGTATGTATTGAGGTAAACCTGTTATCCAAATTACATTTGGCCTTTTTATGATATGAGTGCCTGGCTGAATGCTACACATTGGCTAGGAGTCAGCAGGGAGTTTATCTGATTTCTTGACAAAGAAGTGACCCTGATCGGTCGGCCAGTGCCCTGTGGACAGGCACGTTCCCTGCTCTGAGCCACTCTGGAATCAGTAGTGCTGAACATGGGCCTATGGAGGTGTTCTGCTCACAGGCAGCCGCAGGATCTGCGTCTCTACGGCCTTTTCACATGGATAAAAGGACGGATTAATTCTCAATGGCATGATCCTTGGCCCCTACAGAATTATACTGATCGACTTCAATTAAAGAGGTATAATATCTGCAGTATGGCGTTATTGTCAGGTGAGAAAGATGAGATTACGAGAACTTACTGAGATGATTAAAAACTGCTAGATATGTTGAACATTTTGAATATCTGCAAACTGAGTTTTCCTCCCTTTAGGGTTAAACCCTGGAACTGCAAAAGTCTTCTGTCCATCAATTCTGGTAAGGACTGATGGGGAGTCATTCTAGTGCTCACACGTTGGTTGAACTGTTATATTTCTCAGCGTCATTTGTTTAAAATTAGAACCTTAAGCAATGTATAGTAATGACATACCAACCAAGCACCTTGGACCTAATAAAGGCATATTTAAACAAAACTTAAAAGGAACTTAAATGAGAATTTTCTTTAAAAAAAGACCAAGACTTCTTGTGCACCCTTTACATGTCTAAACTCCCACTGGTTTTAATGGAAGTTTAAATAGGCAGGAATAGAAGCACGGACAGGAAAAGCGAAAACGAAGACAAGAATGGACACATACATGGAATAAGGGATGAGACAAAGAACAAGTGTCATATAAAAATCCTACCTTTCAGGTTTTTATCTACAAAACATATTTTTGCCCTTTATTTAGTAACTTTTGTCAGGATATAGAAGTTTAGTTAGATGAAAGTAATAAGCCCTGCAAAGGTGAGCTTTCCCAGCTAATAACTGACAGTCAGAAGACTCTACACTTTGATACGAAAGTAACAAAATGGACTAGGACTAAATGCCTCTTAAATATACTAAATTGTAGGTTTTATTTATGCCCCTTACTAAGACACCCCGGCTTTCACTAAAAAAATGTAAGTATTAAAAGCCATTACCTGGTTGTCAGAAAGCCACAAAGCTGCAAGTTCTTTAAGTTTGGTAAAGGTGAATGGTAAATTCTTCAATCTGTAAATAATAATATTGGAACAACATGAATCTTTCCACAGTAGTTTCTTTCAAAGATTTCTAAGCAGCATGTTTTAACTTGATCATACTAAAATAACTTGATCTTTTCGTATTTTTATTTTCTCCCATGTTTTATTAAAAATTAGTATTTTATTAAGGGCATTCCCCTTAAATTTCTTCCACATTAAGAGTGACATTTGGAATCTAAACATACTGATGTCATTCCCTAAAGGTACAAAGGAGCTATCAATGCTTTGCCTTGATTTTAATGTAAAAATCTGAGGCTTAATGAGTATTTTACCGTTCCCTAACAATATGTTGTTTCAATCACCTGGCTTCATGACAGTACCATTAAAGAGCAAGTGACCAAATATACAGCTTATAACACCAGAAACAGGCTAAATCTTGGTCCCAATGAGACCCACAGCAAAGTCCTTATAGTTTCAACATAGCCAAAATTCCACCCAGTATTCCTTGGACAGCACTTGTAGTTAAGGCAATTGCTAATATAAACACTTCTATTTTATTTCATTTAAATTTTCAAACAGAACATACTCTAAGATAATTCAAAATTCATTTTTGCAGAAATATTGGGGAAAAAATTAATATAAATATTCATGGTGAACCCACATGACAAAATTAAATAAAAGAGTAAAAATGATTAACACTTTAATCATATATGTGAGCACATTTCCTCAAAGTGAACCTTCTCAGGTTAGATAAATCAGATGGTTTAAATGATCCAAATGGGGAAAAGATGACCAGATACTTGTGGCAATTTCATTCATTTTTGCTAGGAACTCTTACAAAACATACTGTTTTACTTTTCAACCTGTACAAAAATGCAGAGGGCTGTCCTGATAACATAGTGATGTTCTCTCACCTTTGCGTTACACAAGGTTAAGCAGCTGCAGTGCTGTAGAAAGGAAGGGACCAACCAAAGGACTGTCTACAAAGACAAAAGCTAAATTTGATTTAAGAAAGAGAAAAGAGAAAAAACCCTTTTCTGAGAGTTGGACAATCCCATACTCTGGGAAAAAGCTCTTAAGGATGCATTGGTTCACATCTCAGATAAAGACAGGCAATCCGCTGTCAGATACTCCACCTATATGACAAAATCAGGAGAATCCTTTGCCCCTTTATCTGTAAATGAACGACAATATTCCAACAGCCTTCCTCACACTAAATATCTAGGCATATTTCCGGGAGACAAGTATCTCACAAGCTTTTGTACCTTGGTCTCTACGCAACATTTTGAAAGTAAGTGCATCCATTGTGGAATTACTTTAGATGTACTTTTACCTCAACATTACTCCTGTTAAAAATCACGTTATTTCAGAAAGCAGTATATACTTACTGCAAGTAACGCATTTTAAAGACTGTGGTTTTAATAAGAATATCTTATCTTAAAGATGACTTATCTGTGAAAAAGAAATAAATTGCCATAACTAAATACACATAGACAGTGTGCTATGAGATAATCTCCAATTAAATGCCTGTATAGATGAGAACATTTTTATATGCGTGTGCGTG